GGAGCCCGTTAACTTGTCAATTAGTGGTTTCAATTCGACCACCGTTGTTGAGACTCAGAGGGTCAAGTTTACAGTTTCCTCCGAGCCGAATAATAGTGATTTCGTATTTTCTCTCTGTGCATATGTTAAAGACAGTATTCGGATTGGTTCCGAATTAATCAATATTGCTGATTTGCAGAATAAATATCCACAATTAGCACCTATTAAGCCCATTCAATATACTTATGAGGACGTTGAAGTTATTATCGGACAAGACTACTACCACGCCGTTAGACCCATTGAATTCATCTTGGGAGATGATAAAAACTCACCGTGTTCCGTTCGCCTACCGATAGGTTGGGTCTTAAGTGGTCCGTTGCCGCCGTCCGGTAATTCTACTTCTTCGTGTTTCAAGTGTGTTGTTGAAGATTCTTCTCTGACCGACCAGATAAAATCCTGGTACGAGTTGGAATCGTATGGTGCTTTCAAACAAGTCAATGCCCGTTCCGCCGCGGATAAACATGCTTTATCCATCCTCAATTCTGAAACCGTTCACAATGGCGAAAGATACATTGTGCCTATGCTTTGGATTGATAGTAATGTCAGTCTACCAAACAATTATTACTCGTCACTCGCCCAATTTAAATCATTGGAGAGAAGGTTAAGTAAAGACCCTGAGCTGCGCGAAAGATACGCAGAAACAATTAGAGAGGACATTAGGAAAGGCTATGTCGTTACCGTCGAACCGCATGATCCACGTAAGCGTTCCGATCGCGAGTGGTATCTTCCGCACCAGCCCGTCGTAAATCCGAATAAGCCGGGTAAGGTGCGCCGAGTCCTTAATGGGGCTTCTAATTTCGCTCCGTTTTTTGTGGCGGGAGGATACCACTTCCGATGTGGTAGTTCATCAGTACACTCGCCATATATTCGGCGCACGGGATTCGCCTACGTGCGCCAATTTCGCGTTGCGTGAAACAGCAACTGATAATATGTCCACATACCCTGAGGCCGCCTCAGTCGTAAATGAAAATTTTTACATGGACGATTACTTGGATTCATTCGAGAACGTTACCCAAGCAATTAAAACTAGTCGCAATTTGGTTTCCTTACTAAAATTGGGAGGATTTAATTTGACTAAATTTGTCAGTAATGCTGATGAAATCACTTCAGCAATGAACCCCGAGGAATCCGAAACCTCATCTTCACCCATCAAGGAAATATGTAACGGTGCCGAACAATCATCACACGTCTTAGGTCTTAAGTGGGACCATGTGAAAGACACATTGGTTGTTAGCAGAGGCGTGGATCGTCCTCTCGATAAAGCAATAACTCAACGAACCGTCTTGAGTTTCGTCTCTTCTGTGTTTGACCTTGTTGGGTTAGTAGCTCCATACACAGTTAGGGCCCGTCTTTTACTGAAAGATATTTGGAAAATCAGTGGTCAAAGTTGGGACGACGAATTGCCAGAAGACATAAGAGATAAGTTTCTCGAGTGGCACTCCGGTCTCCCTCTCTTAGGGCAATTGACTATTCCCCGTTGTTACTTCACAGAGCCTGTTGATCAAATTGAGCTCCACATGTTCGGTGATAGCTCGCAGGACGTTTTCTGTGCTGTTGGATTTTTGCGCGCGCGACTTGCGAGCTCGCATAAAACTCAAATATCCTTCATTCTTGGTAAAGCTCGCGTTGCGCCCATGAAAGCGCTATCTATACCGAAGCTAGAGCTTCAAGCTGCTCTGCTCGCCACACGACTAAAAGATGATATACTAACCGCACTTACCGTCTCTATTAATCATGTCTTTATGTGGACAGATAGTACAACAGTTTTGCAGTGGCTAAACTCCACTGAAAAATTACCTGTATTCGTCGCTAATCGTGTCGGCGAAATCCTCGAGTCGACCACTATTGATGAGTGGCACCATGTTCTGAGCGGCGATAATCCAGCTGATACCGGTACGCGGGGGATTTCTTCGGAAGCCCTAAAGGATAGCAGCTGGGTTATTGGTCCGAGCATCCTCAGGACTACTGATTGGCCGTTTATACCCGACGAACGTGTAATCAATAAAATTTGTTTGAAGGGTCCTACTTGTGATGTTGATAATTGCTTGGAGACATCATCATCCTTCGTCACCGATGTCACATCAATCAAACATCCCGAACACGGGTTCAATTGGGAAAGGTTCAGTTCCTTTACAAGATATAAACGAGTAGTCGCTTTTATGTTGAGGGTGTTGCCTTCACATAAGCATTTTCGTGGTAAAGACTTACGAATCACCGACCCCACTGAACTTGATATTGCAGAAAGCAAACTGATTCATCTTGCTCAGATGGAATCCTTTCCCATTGAGTTAAAAGCACTCACCGCTGGCAAACCTATTAAGAATAGTAGTAAAATTGCCACATACTCGCCATTTATCGGTCCCGCTGGAATCATTCGTTCCACCGGACGGATTGTGCGCTTAGTGAATACCGAGTTTGATACTAAGCACCCAATAATACTCGACGCCCGACATACCTTAGTTCGTTTGTTGGCCCGCAGCCTCCACCATAAGCATTTTCATCAAGGATTAGATTACATGCACTCCGTTTTAAATATGAAATATGCAGTACTTGGGTTGCGTCGACTACTTCGGTCTATCGAAAATCAATGTGTAACATGCCGTAAACGCAAAGCAAGCACAATCCAGCCAATTATGTCCGATTTACCGGTCGAACGTCTCGGATACAAGCAACCACCCTTCAATCATACGGGTGTGGATTACTTTGGACCGCTTTACGTTCGGGTTCGCAGAAGCACGGAAAAAAGATGGGGATTCCTTTTTACTTGCCTCACCACCAGGGCTGTACACCTTGAGATTGTACCATCTCTGGACACCAGTTCGTGTGTCATGGGCATTGAACGTTTCGTTGCGCGCCGTGGTACGCCAAGCACAATCTGGTCGGATAATGGCACGAACTTCGTTGGTGCGGAAAAGGAATTACTTGCCTGCATCAAGAGCTGGAATGGCATGGCTCCGACCATTTTTGCACATAAAGGTGTTACTTGGAAATTTAACCCGCCAGGCGCACCCCATCATGGCGGCTCCTGGGAACGCCTCGTCCGAAGCGTGAAGCGCGTGCTGTACGATATCCTAGGCAGTAGGCGAGTCACTGAAGAGGTGTTAGGAACAACACTCTGCTTAGTTGAACAGGCTTTGAATTCGAGGCCAATCACTCCCGTTAGTACCGATTCACGTGAGTTAGAAGCGTTAACCCCAAACCATTTTTTGCTTGGACAACATGCCACAAGCTTTCCTTCGCTTTTACCCGGGGAGCACTTCGATCACAAGAAAAGGTACGTGCGAGCGCAGTCATATGCTAACGCGATTTGGTCTCGTTGGCTTCGAGAATATGTTCCCTCGCTGAATAAGCGTGTCAAGTGGCACACTCATTCTGACTTCACTCTTAAAACAGGCGATCTCGTGTGGGTGATTGAGTCCGATAGTCCGCGTGGGTACTACCCTCTCGCCCGAATCGTCAAGCTAAACTACGGACAGGACGGTTGCGCCCGATCCGCCCTTGTCAGGACCGCAACCCGTGAAGTCACGCGGCCGACCGTTAAGCTCGCTCCGGTTCTTCCTTCTTCAGGGGGGGAGGATGTTGCAATGCAAATGTAGAATAAAACAAGAGTATAGATGCATATAAAATAAGCACAGTTGGCCAAGCGGACTAAGACAAAGTAAGCTAACGCCGATTATATGTGTGAAATAACAGTTGACGTAGGTTCGAGTCCCCCACCTGCCCATGTATTAATATACTAAAAACGGGGGTTACTTCCTATTTTAACTGTTTTTTGGTTCTAATTCGGTTCAGCCTTGATTAAGGTTGACCGCCAAAAAGAGCAATTTGTCTCAAGGACATTACCGACCGGTTCTTGTGGCTAGCTTGCGCCGATTTGTACCAAAAACGGACAGATGCTAAAAATGTTGTATGATTTCCTGATCAATAGAAAAATACCGAAGTTTATCTATTGCTTGAGTTATTTACCGATAAATATCTCTTATTAATTTACGAATTTGGATTCAATTATTTTCGTTTGGAGATTAGCGAGCATACCGGTAACGACAGTTCAAAGAGACAAAACTTAGTTTCAAGATGTCCATGTGTTAAAATACCATTTTCTTAAATTATATAATTATATTAACAATTTCAATATTGCTTTATATATTAGTAATAAGAAACAGTAATAATAAATATATTATTCTAAATTTCCTAATACGAATTTCTTAATTACTTAATATATATAATTTCGGAGAAAGGCATTGAAGTTTTGGTTGAACACATTAGACAGTTCAAAGAGCCACTGCCACCATGATGCGATAATGCTGTTAGATTGAATTTCCATTTTAAGCCCCAATGCGCGAATGAAGAGAGTGCGTGGCGTTCCGTTTATTTTTTTTGATGTTGCAATTTAATTTTTCCATCGAAGTGTGTGCACATTTGTTAGGGGTTGATGATTTTATAGAACCATTCATTTTTCTTCTACCAGGAGAAAGTTTCTTAGTTTTGAAGAAAAAATTTTGAGAACTTAGTTTTAATGGTAAATTTTTGCGTTCAGATTTTTCAAAAAGAGGCCAGATATTCCTCTCTTCAAATTTTCTGGCTGCAATTTTTTGCGAACCTTTGAAAATATACAAATAATTTTAAGCTGGTCGTATCATGTATCACTTTTATCGACCTTGATCAATATTAATTGATATATATAATTTATTTCGAAAAGCGGGCATTCGGTTGACCTATACAGTTGACATATAATTTTACCATCTCAACCCAGGTGTTAAAGCGATCGAAATTCTTTTCGTCGAGTTCAAAATATCAGTGCTTATTCAATGATCTACTGATTATTCTCGAAACCAAAATTAAAAAAAATTGAAGTCATTCCTGTTTTTCATACGGTCATCTCGTAATCAAAGAACTTCGTAGATATAATTACGGAAACTTTAAAAGCTTCAGAATCCCAGAGATTGTGTGTAAGAATCAATTTGATAGTCAGTTAAATTACGCATTTAAATTATTTAATCAGTTTGAATCAGGAATGAAGCCATGCAGTTAACTTTTGTAATAATCAGTTAGCATTTAATCGATCTTGCAAAAGTGAAGATCAATTTTCATGCCTTTTCCTGAAACAGTTTTGCTGAAAATATTTCAGACAATATCTAGTACCACAAATCGTTATACAAATTACAGACTGATTGAAAATTAAGTTCAAATTGACAAATTAAATTTTACATACTCTTCAAACATCTTGAGCTCTATCAATACATCGTCTGATATTTTGTTCAAAATCACTGGTACAAAATCAAACAGTACGAGTAATTTCAGTTCAGCAGTTTCCATATCTCGGTACAGCTCGAAAGCGATGCTTGCTGCAAATTCGGGCCACGAATAATCCTGTGCTTGCAAAGCTACCCGAATAGAGTTAATTGTCGTGTCGTGGCCGCTAAGAAAAATCAACTTGAACGGGTTTTCGACGTCGAGAGAATTGAGAATATTCTGGAAGAGTCGTGAGCATGACTTTGCCACTCCATTTTGGGCTAAAAAAGGACCAATTACAGCATCTAACTTTGATTTTTTTTAAATAAGGGAGTTAGTTCTAAATGACATCAAAGTCCTGTACTTGTGTAATGCATCAGCTAAGAGCTTTTTTTAAAAAGTTTTTAGTTCGCACAAAGATTAAAAGAACAGAAAGCTGTCATATCATAGAAGTTTCGTTTTATATAGACCCCACATCAATTTTCTTTGACCATTTAAAAACAAGTTAGCCTTATATTCTGCAACGGATCTAGAATTTTTTCGGGGCATCCCAAATTTTTGTCGAATTTTTTTGGTTCATCAACATGGTTGCTTTTAGCCAGATCAAACAACTCAGAACACTAAAAGGATCCTGATTCGCCAAATTTTCATGCCGCAGTCAATTTTTGCCGAACCAATTGTGTTGTTTTTGAGCACTTTTTTGAAGGATTTGACAAAAAAAAATGATTTTTTTTTGCGCGCGATCCAAGCTCAAGTTTAGCTTATAATGACGCCAAATTTTTCGAAGTGGGTCCAAGATAAATCACTGTGCAAAATGGCGCCAAAGAGAGGACGCTTTGGGTTGTCAGGGTGTCGAATTTATGAGGACGGGGGGGGGGGTGGTAGGGCGATATGCGAGTGTAGCGAATTCTGACCGTGTTGTCTTAGCGAGCCCAACAGCAAAAAAAAATCTGAAAATGAGCGAACCCAGGATTTTTTCAGCAGTGATGACGTAACTCAGCATTTTGCTGCTGCTCCACAAATCTTCATCATCAAAAGGCAGAGAAGCTACCGCTTTTTTTGCTCATCTGCAGAAACTCCGTCGAGGTCAAAGGTCAGAAACGAAGTGACATAGTCCCTCACATTCTGAAGGTCGATTGATTCTTCTGCGACTTCAAATCGAGAGGCGAAGTCAAGTGCCCATTTCTGGAAACCAGGAATTTCGCGCACCATGAAATTGTAGGAGTTGGCTTTGTGACACGAGTCTCGAAGTTCCGGGAAACTAAAAAAGACGCAAGTTTTCAAGATATTTATATAGATTATTATTCAATCTAAAGCTGATTATTGCCTTCATGAAAAAATCAAATATGAGCTCGTCGGGCAAAAAAAAATGAAATTTTACTTTTAAAACCATGTGTTTTCCGTTTGAGGGAACTATCAGCCAATTTCAATAAATCCAGGAAATAGTAAGAAAGTATTATTTTTTGTCACGTTTATACTGCATTTCGCAAAAATGTATACTGTATTTGATAGGAAAAATTGAAGATTTACTTAAAGAGAACAGTTGATTACCGTTTGAAGGGAACAAGCAGCCAATTTTCGTCGGCATTATCGAAAACCCAAGTTTTGATTTTCGGGTTCTGTCGCGGACCCGTTTGCTCCTGCTCAAACAACCCGCCGAGCAAACAGCGCAACGACTCAACTGTTCGCTCGGTCCGGGACGAAAACGCGCAGACTCTTTGACTCGGCTGCTCGCCTTCCGTGCATGAGTTCGCTATACGTTCAACTTCGGAAGTGTAGCGAGTTTTGAGTCGTTTTCCGAGTGATCGCAGTTGTTTTGCTCCTTTTGAAGTCAGTTTTCCGCTACGGCTGAAATATCCACACAGACTTTGAAATTCAATCAAAAAATAAGATCGTGTTCTTGAGTCTCGAGTATTGAAAAATCTAGAATAAGATGTAACTTGTGTCATAAATATCGCATGAAAAAAAAACAATTAAGAAAGTTAATGGGGTCGACCTTTCTTTGACCTTTTTGTCCACCTTAATTTTTGACCTTTTTTAAATCGTCTCAATTGATATTCCGGGCTCTCCTTTTGAGGAACCAATGTGATCAAACTTTTCGCACCGAAGGTAAGTTTTAGCAAAAAAAAACAGACCAAATTGATATTTTGAGCAATTTTGTTAAGGTTTCGATCAAAAATTGCTTTTTGTTGCGCGGGACCTAATTTCAAATTTAGTATTAATTGGCGCCAAAAGAACTTTTATATAACATTCTGGATCTCTTGAACTATCCCCCCCCCCCCTTTGTAAAAAGGGGGAGACTCGTTACTAAGTACAAATTTTACATATGCTTAACCATTGAATTATTTCTTTATAGGGGTGGCAATTCGTGATTAGTTTAGGAGGGGGGGGGGGGGGGGGGGGGGAGTTAAAGAGATCCAAAGTTTTAGTATGCGAGGCTGAAATTCGAGGTCGTAAAATGGTAGAGTGGGAACCCTATGGGTAGAGAGAGTGTCGAATCGAATTCCTCGGGGGTAAGTTGGGTAACGTACCGAAAAGTAAACACGTCTTACTCGTAAGCCAATCAGAATCGAGAAAAAATATATAATTCGTTCGTTGTTTTCTTATCTCGATTCTGATTGGCTTACGACTGGTCTTCTTTATGACACTCGATTGTGATTGGTCTACGGCTTGTCTCTCAAAGCATTTTTACATTTTGAAGCACTTCGTCTATTTATAAGTTCAATTAAAACATACTCAGTGACAGTTAGAATCTCCATTTCATTTCTCGCTGCTGTAAACTTCTCACACTCTTCAGGAAAAACCACCAATTTCACATTCTCGTATTGAAGGTCATTGACCCCATCGAAGCAATTCGGGTCCAAATTGTCGAAGAAAGACTCTTCAAATCGCTCATTCAGGGTATTCGAGATCAGCTTTCGGTACTTAAATGGCGTTCTATGACCGTGTCTGAATATAATCACACTTTTCACTCGAGTATAATTTCTTGCAAGTTCGGCCTCCAATAATTCTGTGTCATTGCTAGAAAGGCTTCGGAAATTGTCGAACTCTTCAAAATTGAGTTTCATTTCCAAACAAAGCAAATTAGTTATATTTGCAGATGGATCAATTTAGTTTACGTAGAGTAGAAGAGAGTCACTTTTTTGTCACAAAATCTAAGATTTCAGGACAACTCTATTTTGAATGGGAATTGCAATACTGAACAAAAAGGTAAATTTGTGATCAACAAACAACTAAATTTTAAGTTAAGTTACACGTCATTTTGAGAAGTGTTGCAATATTGACGTAATGGTAAATATAATATTGATGGGTGCCGGACATCAAGCCGACGAGACTTCAAGCCGAATTGTAAAATTAGGGACTTCAAGCCCAATAGTTCCTTATAAAGTCGTGAAATATGAATAATTTGAAAATTTTTTTGAAAAATTTCTGAGTTTCATGATATTTCTTCACTAGTTATTGGCGTTTGGATATAAATTAAGCCTCCAAATGATGTTTTGGAAAGTTGAAATGCAAAACATGGTTGAAGGCATTTTTCATGTTTATAATTTATGCATTTCAAAAACCGCCTGATGTTATCAATGGATGCGAATCACAAGTGGTGCATTGTCATGAATAACGCTTATTAGGGACTAAACTTGCCAAAATTTTAGAAAAGCAACGTTTTGCAGATGATAAAATAGCGTTTTGAGGTGCTTGTAAAGTTTTAATTTCGGCTTCAAGTCCCTTCGGCTTGAAGTCACGTCGGCTTGTTGTCCTAGACCCAAAATTGATACGTCATTCATCTCCCAAATATGCTAAAAATAATTCCGACCTCACATTCACGTAAAAAGATTGACATACACACGGGTCTAGGTCAACAAGCCGACGGGACTTCAAGCCGAAGGGACTTCAAGCCGAAATTGAAACTTTACAAGCACCTCAAAACGCTATTTTATCATCTGTAAAAAGTTGTTTTTCGAAAACTTTGGCAAGTTTAGTCCATAATAAGCGTTATTCATGAAAATGCACCTCTTGTGATTGGCATCCGTTAATACTATCAGCCGGTTTTTGAAATGCATTAATTATAAACATGAAAAATGCCTTCAACCATGTTTTAATTTTCAACTTTCCGAAACATCATTTGGAGGCTCAAATTATATGCAAACGCCAATAACTAGTGAAGAAAGATCATAAAATTCAGAAATTCTTTAAAAAAGTTTTCAAATTATTCATATTTCACGACTTTATAAGGAATTATTCGGCTTGAAGTCCCTAATTTTACAATTCGGCTTGAAGTCCCGTCGGCTTGATATCCGGCACCCCATACACACAATTTATCCGCAACAAGCCTAAGAATATGCTTAAAAATTATCCCACCACGAGTTTAGAAGAAAATTAGTTTTACAGGGTTTTTCACCACCAAAGTATGATACCAGAAGTAAAGGCCAAAATCGGCCTGGCGAAAGAAGCGTTTTAGTCTTCTTTCAAACGAGTTTATCATTTTTCAAAAAATATCGAAAAATGGGTTTGAAATTTTTGGTTTTAAAGCAAAATTGTGGAAAAGTCACTCTTAATATTATCTCGTAATGAGCAAAAGTTTCAAAAATAAAACCCTTGGTTGGTAGTTTTCCTTAAGCTGAGTTAACTCTCCCACAATCGTACGTGCAAGAAATTACAATTTGAGTGAGAAAAAATCGAAAAAGCATTTTTTAAATTTATTTTGTTTTTCATGAATTTTGCGCACAGTTTATTTTTTCCTTGTTGCAATTTGTTAATTGTTTCATATTTCAGACAAAGTGTAAAAAGTTTTACGCATTTCAAACTCTAGTCTTGAAATTCTTGATATGCGTTTTACACGAATCAACATTTTTTTGTACGCTCGAATTTTTTCTTCATTTTTTAGAAATAGAATCTTTCCCCTGGAAAAATTTGATTTCAGTGTCCAAGCAAGTACAGCACAATGAAAAGTTATCCTTGCCAAGGTAGATAATTCTCTTGCTTCGAGGAACAGATAATAATGGGCTGAAATTTGCTTATATAGCGCCCCTACTGGATATTTCCATGCTATGGCGATCGCAACGCATCTCACCACAAACGGTCCCAATATTGGAACCATATTCAACCAAACATTTTATACCGAATTACATTCTTTGATAAAAATCACTTAAGTATTTAGAGCTAACCAATCATGATCCTTTTTTAAAACTCATGGTAGTTTGCAAAGCTGTAACTATTTATAGTTTCAGCCGGGAAAAAGATAATTTAACTTAGAAAGCAGTTGCTCTTCCTCTCATTTAAGCTCGCAAAAAGACCAAAGTATACTAGACCTATTGAGACTAGGATATAGAAGAGTAAGATTAAGATCAGTATTAGACTAAGAAGTTGCACGTATACCTCCGGCTGACAAAAATATAGCGTGACGAACAGACTGTGTACCCTATCCTCCGAAATTACTCTATGAGAAGGCTCCATCTAACCTAAACTCATCTGGTGCCACTAAACGAGTCTCGAGTAGACCTACACGACTTAAAGTTTCGAAAAACCTAGAAATAGATTAGAAAACAAAAAAACATGTTGAAAGAAACCGAAAATAAATTTAGTTTATTTTCAGGTCTGAATGAACCGAATCAATTATTCAGAAAAAACCAGGTCACAGCAAAGACTAAAAATTAGATACCTGTATTGCAAAGCAAAAAAAGCAGACAAAGACGATTACCGATAAGAATTTCAAGAAATCAGAATTAAAAGAAGGATACTAGATCACTATCTACCAAACAACCTACATAACCTCAAAATACGGCATGTTCCCCAATTAAATTCCTTTTCCAGGTTTAAATAATAACTGAATAACACCACTGAATCGAATACAAACTGATGATATAGAACTGAGCTTCTCAAGATATTTTTGGTAGAATATTTCAAAAACATCCATCATCAGATTGCGATTTCTAGATTCCATCAGCAAAAAACTCATTTACTTAGAAGTCTCACAAAACAAATTATGAATTATAAAAAAATTAGCATGGTTCATTATAGTTTTTTTCCAATACAATCTAGACCTATTTAAACAATCCCGAAACAATTTCGCACACTTTGTGATTTATATACAATCCTAGCATAGAAAAAAATAAATGAATGGAATCCAGAATGATAGTTTGATTGTTTTCCAAAGATATTTTAATGTAATTTAAAGTTTTCTAATAAACCAATCAATATTTCTGGCTCAGCAATTCAAACTGTCTCAGTAAATAGAATCTCTTAAAGGGTAGCTCCAAAAAACACACAGCATAGTTTTAAATTATAACACGATGTTCCACAAAATGACATTTCAAAACGCTTTAGTTCATCATTTATGAACACACATGAAAATCTGAACGGAATTACAAGGTACAGGTCAGCTTCTCACTCGTTTTTTTTCCGCCAGTATAGCATGATATCGCTCTGCCTCCCTCATCCATGGCGCCGTTGGTCGCAAAAATCAAGGGGGTAAAAGAGGCATGCTCTACCTGCAGAACGCGGTCGTTTTATTCGACTTTTTTCCGATTCTCATGGGTCTCTAGGAGTGGCTTCAGTTTTCGGTTCCTATTACTTGGAGCGTTCGGGTGTGTGAAACGGACGTCAAGAAACATTTTCTGTAGTGGCGCCCAAAAACCTCGACAAGAAATATCCAGTCTAGTATTGTCTTCCAGATTGCTTCCACTTGCAAGTTCTTTCCCGTCAATTGGATCAGACCGGGCTCAACGCTCACATCCTTGCACATGTTACGTAAAAAGTCGGCTTCGACGTCGCTGACAGCATTGTGACGCGTTATGAAGAAACCATCCAACTTACAAATCAAGGCATGGTCGACTTAGCTAGCCCTCAACTTGTATTGTTTGAAGGGCGATAAAAGTTTTTTAACCGTATGTTTGCTAGGTGTACTTGAATCCTTGGGCAGTTTTCAGGCTCAAAGTTTTCTCCTCTTCGAAGCGCATTTTGTTATAGGTTCATGAACGCAGTGAATAATCTTGTAATGGTCTTGGTGATTTCTTTGTTTTTTTTTCCGAAAAAAGTCTCAAAATTTATTCAGGCTAAAATTTGATTTTTCGCGGTTTGACTTTTGATTTCTGTTTAAGTTCACTTCATTTCCTGTGTTGAAAGGAACGCAAACTTCACTATGGACCAGCAACAGTGTAAAAAATACGAACAACGTGATCGACTTTTTTTTTCAAAAGTTGAATTTTAATGATCAGATTACCCGCTAAAAAAAAATCACGTATAATTCTCTTTTGCTGAAACTGAGCTGATTTTATCGAAAGAGCGTCAATCATAAACAGTTCTAAAAATTCAAAGAAATGTAAGGCCATATGTTTTTTACTCAAAAAATTCATTTTTTCTTTGTTTTTTTTCCAGAGTTTAGTCAGAATTTTTTTTTCTGTTTCCCTGCGTTCATCACTCTTCTTCGACTGTCTGATGGCGATGTTTAAACAAAGTCACTTGAATCATTTCATGACTAAATTTCTTATTAAATCAAAATTGATGGGTTCTCAGAAACACTTGGCCGAGAGGTAGCGGCTACGCATGAATCGGAAAAGGCCCTAGGTTTAAATCCGGGCAAGACTAGTTTTTTAACCTGAAAGTTTTCCGCATCAAAAAACTTGCCGGCCTATTGTGTGTCTGTTGCTGTTTTGTCGGCTTAGTTGTAATATCCGCGGAGATCTATGCAATTTCATTGAAGTTGACATTGGTTTTGATTAACTCGGGCTACTTGTGTACTAGCCCTGGTTGTAATTTACTAGCCCTGGCTTTGTATAAAATATAGAAAGTTTTGGATAAAAGTTTTCGGATGTAACATTCGCCCGGAAGTACATATCGACGGAAAATAAAGCTAAGCAATAAAACGACTGGCCAGCGTCTAAATAAAGCACTACATGCTTTTCACCGTCTCTAACAAAGCCAGTTCTTTTGGTCGTCTTTCTAACAACGGGTCGACAAAAACGTTAGTGTTCTCCGGCTTCGACCAGAATCCTCAAATTAACTTAATTACATGCAAAAATAGTAAGCTCGCAGCTGGGTCTCAATATCCCCAGACCACGAGGTCACTCCTAAAAACAGGGCTATTACTATTTCTTATATTACTACTGTTTTTGTTAAGTAGATAAAAATCATCGTCTCCATCGAAGATGGATCAACCCTTACCCTTAACTCATAGCTTCTCATCGTCAAAAAATGAATCCAGATGTTATTTAACTTCAATTCAGAATATA